ATCTATTGTATCCATGCTCTCAGGTAACACATGTTAGGCAGGAATTTGAATTGCGAGTGAAGGAAGGCTGCCTAGAAATCCCAAGTCTGCAAGAATGTACATGAATTCGGATTTGGAATGGTGGGGATGAATGTACTGTAGGCTTAAAGTAAAGTCTTCAGCCTCCAGAAGCGGCGTCTCTGAAATGCATTGATATTTTCCGTTCTAAGCACTATGCATGTTTGAGACAGTGAGATCACCAACCAGTAGTGGCCATGTGTACATTTTGAGATTCCCACACCTTAGGCATGGGATTTGTACAGCTGTGAATCGCCCACCGTGGGGATTGTGTGTGTGTGTGTATGTGCATATTTGTGAATGCACAGTATCAGGAGGCAAGCAGTGTAGTGAGAGCTTTTTAAAAGTGTGTGCAGTATAATGTCTCCTACCCTATGGAAGCATGCAAATCCATGGATATCCACGGCTCATTTTTGCAGATAGGGGTGCGGAGACAAAGGTTGTATCTAGAACTGCTTTATATCTGCAGGTATCCATATCTGTGGATGTGGACACGGATATCCAGAGCTTATTTTTGGATATGGATGGGATACGGATAAAAGATTTGTATCCACGCAGGGCTCTACATGTATAGTGGTTTCCACTTAATAAGAACCTGGATACAAACAACTTACAGTTAATAGTAATATTTTGTTGGGAATCAATCTCATCCCATTGACTTCAATATTAATGGGATCTGGATATTGACAACAGCATGCTGCTTATTCACAACATCTTTTTGAAGGCTCTGGCTGCAGTCCCAGAAGGAAGCACTGGAATGTGCTGAGCACCCTGGCAGGCGGGTCTGTTGGGGCTGCAGCTAGAGAAGATCGTGTGAGGGCCTCCCTTTCCTGTCTGCAGCCTTGCAAACCTGCCTGCGACTAGTATTTAGGATGTTTCTGTGATTCTTTCTAGGATTACAGCCATGGAAGAAGCCTGCCTGCACTCAGACTGCACAGGAGGTGGGGGGCTGGGAGAGAAGAGGAGGTTGTCGTCAAAGCCAGAGCAGAGAGTGGGGAAGAGGTAGCAGCCTGATAAACCTGCCTGTGCACAGGAGGGACGAGGCTGTGGGCAGGGAGGAGAAGAAAGGCTGTTGGCAGAGCAGTAGCTGAGATGACAGGCATCTGAGATGCTGGACCTGCATGGTACCTCTCCCTGTGCTCCTTTGGCCTGTGCCTGCTGGGAGACTCCATATAGGGAAGGAATTGTTGCAATGTATGGACAGTGCAGGGAAAGGTCCCATGCAGCTCAGTGGGCCCCCCCAAAATCCCCACCAGTTCAGACATTGGCACTAATGATAACTTGGCATGCTGATGAAATCTCACTGAATTGGACACTAATCTCAGGAAGGGTATGAATGTACCATGGGTGTTCAGAAGTCTGAATATGCACATGCCCTACTCCTATCTCATATGGGGAATGATTACTTTTATAATGGTTCTATATTTTCACTTTCGTGTTCATTGTATGAATCTTTATCTAGAGCTGCAGTGTGAGAGGCATAAAGGGAAGTGTCAGCACTGTAATTTTCACCTGATAATAAATAATGAACTTCAGCTTGTGTCTTGGGAGAAAATAGGTTCAAGCTTGTCTGTTTAGCTAGGCTACAGGTAGAGAGTAAGTTGAAGCCGGCCTTTGTCTGCAGCATGTTTATTTTTAGGATAAATCAAGGAGGCTTGGGGGGGTGGGGCATTTTGAAAAGCCACGTCATGCTTTAAAACCCTTTCAGAGGCTCAGAAGGATAATGTCTCACCTCTTGCGGTAACTAAAGAGATCCACTTGGCTGTGTTAGTTATTTCTGACTTTGCCTCTGTAGTGTGTGTTGAAATGGAAGGTTTTGCTCCAGAGAGAGATAATTTCATTACAGTGACTTAGTTTTTCCTGATTAACCAGTTTGGATGCAGGTTTCCAATCTGATTGGGGAAGAATATTTAGTGGGCTTCATGTGAAGAACACTTCTTACGATGTTTCTGTAAAAGAGCACTAAACCATATCAATTTGGGTCACCATCTTAGTACACTCAGTTACGGTCCTTAAGTCACCTCCACGAAAGCTGCTAGAAGTGGGCCTCACCCTCTTTGACTGAATTAACCTTGTTATCTTTAGCCTTATTCTGGCCTGCATATTTAAACCTGCCTCTGGAAATTTCCGCTACATGCATCTGACGAAGTGGGTCTTTGCCCACAAAAGCGTATGCTCCAATACATCTGTTTATAAGGTGCCACAGGACTCCTTGTTGCCAGTCCTCAAGAAGAAGCTTATTCTTTTGTTTTCTGATCCTTTGGAAGGAAGCATTCAGATAGTTAACATCCCTACCTGGAACCTCTATTGAGGTTCAGATATTTTTAATCTATCCGGTATTTGGGTAAACATGCTTGAAGTTTTAGCAGTTACATGTTTATACACACTTGGGGGGGTGGGGCAGGCAGAAGCCGATGCTTCAGGGGAGCTGGCTCCCGACTGCCCTTCCTCTCCTATGGAGGCAGCAAGTGGGGGGGGCAGGAGGTTCAGCCAGCATGTGCATTTCAGTTCCTGCCTCCTACCCCTTGCTGCCTGTGAGTCAGCAAAGGTGGGGGAGGGAGTGCATGTAGGCAATAGGATTATCTGGTAACGCGAGCCAAGGCTTATCAGTTAATTGTGTAATCAACATTAAGACATCCCTAATTTAAGGCGGTTCTAAAATCGTATTATTTGTAGAAGTGAATCTGCTTTCAACTCAGATCTCAACATGCATAGAACTTGCCAGGAACACTCAGCATCGTGTGATGTCCAAGTATAGAACTGTGTAGTCTATGCTCCTTTGACCAGTATGAAAGGGGTGTGGGTTAATGAGGCTCCTTCTCACTGGCAGCTTAAGAGTAGCTTTTGCAGTTATTCTTAATAGCTGGGTTCAGCGGACATATGTCCACATCTCCTTGTCAGTCTGCTCCTCTTTGCCAGTGATATGTAAATCAGAATCCAGATATTCAGAACGACCTAGGTTTTGCTGAAATGTAAATAGTGGGCAGCATATGGGTCTCCAAGAGGAAGAATTTGTCTACACAAGGAAACTCAGGAAAGTTAATCTGAATTAACCAAAAGTGAATTAAAAAATGAATACGTTAAATTTCATTAAACTCTGATGTTAACACTTGTATTCAGAATTAACATGGCCTAAATTCAATTTAGCTTTCTTTACTTTCCCAATACCAACTTACCTTGTTCCATAAAAAATATGCAAGCCTCCTTTACCACCCTAAGGTAGCTGCAGGGTGTGTTTACACTTATAGAGTTAGGCTGGCTCTGTACTGGTAACCAGTAGAATAAAGCAAATCTTTGGTAAGAAGTTACCCACATGTGCAACCAGATGTCTGCTGATGAAAAGGGAACTTTTAAAGAGCTCTTATGCTATATGGATCTTCTTTTTAGGTGAGGGGGGGTCTACTGTTTTTTTTTCATGGTAACTTGCCTCTATACACAGATGTTTCACTGGGAGAATCAATCACCATCAGAATTGAAAAGGCAGGTTTTGACCATCTAGAATTCTTTTCACTTAGTTGGATGTTTCCTGCATCTAAATCTCCCTTAATGTACTTGTATGTGTGGTAAAGGCCACAAGGCGTGATTAGTGCTAATTATTCCCACATTTTGTTTCCTAGTCTGTACCTGTTTAAACTGGGACTGGCCCCTCAGATTCAAGATTTATATGGGAAGGTGGACTTCACAGGTATGGAGATTTCTTGCTTCTCTGAAATTTAAATGTATATGAAATTGTATGTCCTGTTTACTCACTCCAGTAGATGCTTTACGGAATGGATGAAGAGGGATTAATGCCCAACTCAGCCGAAGCCTTCATTTCATTTATGTTTAGTATCATAGATTCATAGAGCTGGAAGAGACCTTAGGAGGTCATCAAGTCCAGCCCCCTGCTCTAGGCAGGACCAATCCCAACTAAATCAACCCGGCCAGGGCTTTGTCAAGCCGAGACTTAAACACCTCTAGGGATGGAGACTCCACTATTCCCGTAGGGAACCCATCGCAGTGCTTCCCCACTCTCCTAGTGAAATAGTTTTTCCTAATATCCAACCTGGACCTCTCCCACTGCAATTTGAGACCATTGCTCCTCGTTCTGCCATCTGTCACTACTGAGAACAGCCTCTCTCCGTCCTCTTTGGAACCTCCCCTCAGGAAGCTGAAGGCTGCTATCAAATCCCCCTGCCCTCTTCGCTTCTGCAAACTAAACAGAAGCTTACAAAATGTTGATGGATTCCTACGATACTAGCTGGGGAAGGAGACTCCAGAACTTTGGGAGGAAGTTTTATTCTTAATTCTTTAGTAACTGACTCAACATTAGTATGTCTCCATTGTCTCTCCCTTCCCTTCCCTTGGTTTTAGACTCTCTCCTTCCAGAGCAGCAGCTGCAGAAGAAAGCAAGCTTTGTAGGATAGTGTATGTATTTTCCATGCCCTGTTGGCTTCAAACCACACAAGGATCATGTAATCTGTTTCAAACTTTTGTCACTAGGCGCATGGAACTACAAACAGTCTTGTGTAAGCCCCTTCAGTTTGGGCAACTGGAACAAATATAGGAGAGTTTTGTCTCTTCTCAGGCTGCATGCATAAAATATTTTGAGATGGCATTTGCAGTCTTTTGTAGCTGTCCTAATTTTTGTGTAGCAATAGCTGATTTTAGGTCTGATTCTGCCTATATTGCACCTTTTTTCTTTGTATTTCAGAGGAGGAGATCAACAATATGAGGAGTGAGCTGGAAAAGTATGGAATTCAGATGCCTGCCTTCAGCAAGATTGGAGGAATTTTAGCTAATGAACTTTCTGTGGATGAAGCAGCATGTAAGGGGAATGGATTTTCATCCTCCGTGACCGTTTAAATTGCCAGATTGGATAGAAAGTACATGTTTAAGTGCTGGCAGTAATATTCCCTATTATTTACATCAACATAGGTGGTCTTATGGCCAAGGCATTTTTTTTTGTTTGAAAATCTGTATTTGATTTGGTCAAAATCAAACTGATATCAGGGAATAAGATACCACCTTGGTCAAAAATAGAACCTTACTTGCAATTTGTATACTGATAATTGCAGAAATGCCAAAGCTAGAGCAGTTTTTAATTTATTGCAAGAAAGGGCAGCTGTCTTTGCAGTAAATTAGGAATCTATGCTTTGCTTTTCAGTGCATGCTGCTGTTATTGCCATTAATGAAGCAATTGACCATCAAGTTCCAGCTGACACCCTTATGGCAATGAAGAACCCCAATGCCATGTTGGTGAATCTTGAGGAACCGCTGGCATCAATATATCAGGACACATTGTACCAAGCAAAGAAGGACAAGATGGAGAATGCCAAAAACAGAGTAAGAGAACAGTACTCCTTTGTAACTACGAATTCATGTTCATTGTTTCGAGTTCACTATGCCACCAGAGGAATCTAGTGAAAATATGGTGTTAAGTATTTTACGTGAGGAGTTAGTTCAGATTTGTCCTTAGTGAAATTCTATTGTCCTCAGGGGTAAATGTGATATATTACGAGATGGAAGAAAACAGAGTTCTACAAGAATCCCTTACACATAGATTCCCAAGGAATATGCATGGTGGAAGAACAGAGGAGAGGTCTTATTCTAGACATCAGTAAAAGCCTGTCCTTTTTTTATATAGAATTTTTGAGTCTCTGATATAGATATTTAATAAAAACAACTCTTCTACAAAGTTTGAACTAGTTCTAGAATTTCACCTAGATTAGAGTTGCTTAGTGAATTTTGTCTTCCAAGTCTACTTAGCCAGTAAGTAATTCTATTTTATGGAGGCCGATATTTACAAGCACTATACATCCAAGTCTAAACGCCATGGTCCCAAAAGTACTGTGCAAATGAATCTGTTCACAGAATTCTACCCAAACTATTTGTCACTTTCTGGCTGCAGCAGTGGGACGCCAGTTAGCAGTACTTAGATGTATGGCCTGCTCTGGACTATTATATCCATTTATTTCATATGGAACATTTCCAGTTTGAGAATCTATATGTGTCTGCCTCAGTGGATCTACTGCATCTTTTATACTAAAATTGCTTTTAAAATCATCCTGTGTGTGTGTGTGTGTGTGTGTGTGTGTGTGCGCGCGCGCGCACACCTAGAAATACTCACCTCTAGGACTCCCTTTTATGTGTGTGTGTAATTATTACTTATCTGTTGTGCAGTGGGTTAGAGCTTTGTTGCTGTGTGCATTAGTTATGTTTACTGCCCTTTCTTCTGGAGGGCAGTTAGAGGCCTCTAATCCAGGGCTCAGCAACCTTTTCAAACCAAAGAGCCAAACTACATCAAAATTCAGAACAAGTGGTCAACAAAGAGCCGTATAAGAATGCCCATTTGCATGACTGAAAATATTGACGTAATGATTAATAACAGCATAAATGAAAACATTGTACATACAGACTTTATTTAATGGGACTTATGCTGCTGCATCCTTTCACACATTTCTTTGAAGTTTACATCACAACTGGTCAAATCCAGTTTCATGCACGCATTCAGGCTGCCTTCTGTCAATCTTATGGCAGGGAGCTGGGGATATAGGGCTTCAGGAGTCTGGGTTGGGGTATACGAGAGGCTCAGGACATGGAATTTGAGTGCATGATGGACTCAGGGCACAAGGTTGGAGTGTGGGAGAGGGTGCAGGAGTGTTATGGCAGGGGGACTGAGGATGTGGGGGTGCAGGAGTCTGGGAATGTGGGGTTGCATGAGTTTGGAGATATGAGGGTCTCAGGGCAGCACTGGCTCCCTGCAGCATGGAGAGCAATGCGGGGCTGAGTTGGGGCTCCAGAAGAGCCATATCTGGTTCCTTAGAGAGCCATAGAGTGCCAATCCCTGCTCTAAACAAAGCACTGCAAAATCTGGTCTAGTGATGCATTATTGGTTTGTTTCATTGTCAGACTGCTTCTGAGAACTCAGCGAGAGAAAGGGATGTGTACGAAGAGCTGCTGACTCAAGCTGAGATTCAGGGCAATGTCAACAAAGTCAACAGTAAGTTTCCCACTGAACTAGGCCTGGATGAAGAACATTCTGAATGGCTCCTTGACTTCCTGTTCTACGGCCGCACTTTGAACGGAGTAGTATTGCTCTCTATTTTGAATTCATCCTGCCCCTTGTCCCTCCCCAGGCTCCTTAAACGAGGGAAGGATCCCCGTGTGCAACTCTGTGCTCTTAGTATTACATACCATTTTAGTCTCTTTGCCTCTTAAAAGCCCTCCTGAGCCTGATTTTGGAGCCTGACTTAGAGACTTCTAGGCCTAAACCATCAGTCGATAGCGTTCAGGAAGAAACGCCTTCTCGGCCTGCGTTATAGAGGCCTGATGATTGCTACATTTAGCTCTTGACCCTTACTTTACCTTACTTTCTCCCTAGCACATTCAGCCCTATCAAAGATAGATCTGGCTTTGGAACAGGGAGATGCATTAGTATTATTTGAAGTTTTGACATCACCAGCCCTGGGGCTCCGAGGAGTACAGCGAGAAAATCGTGACTGGTATCTCAAACAGCTTCTGAGTGACAGGCAACAGAAACAGGAGGTATGGAAAAGCATATGTAATCATTGTGCAAGTATTTAGAATACCAAAAAGAATCATATATTAATGATTTGGGGATCATGAAACCCCCATACATGAGTTAAAGGTACTTTGGAAAACATTTCTTTGTTTTTCAGTGTTGCAAAAGTAAACTTATTATTCCAATAGCATAATACGTATGCAAGAGACACTGTGATTATGTACATAAATAGAATACTTAATGGTATAGTATCAACAGCTTTGTCAATGTGAGTTTGAAATGGCAGCATTATTCCTGGATGGTAAATGTCACAACTTAAAGACTTAAGTTGTGACATTTACCATCCAGGAATAATGCTGCCATTTCAAACTCACATTGACAAAGCTGTTGAGGAGGGGCATATTCTACCCAATAGACAGGCTCTCCGCCCCTCATGTTCAGTGCGGGGCAGGCCAGACCCGTCACAGTATGGAAAAGCAGTTCCTAGTCTGGAACTGTTTGCCTGCTGGACACCAGAGGGCGGGGACATTCGTGCACCCGAGGGCGGGGCCACGCATATGCCACACCCCCAGGAGCCACGTGCCTGGGGCCAGCAACCCCTTCGCTGCGTGGCCATGGGTGGGGCCACCCATTCGCCGCAAGCCTGGGGCCGGCACCCTCCAGGCCTCACGCCCAGAGCCAGCACCCCTCACAGCTGCACGCCTGGGGGTGGGGAGGCCAATTCGCCGCGCACCCAGGGCCGGCGCCCCCCATAGCCGTGCTCCCGGGGCCTGCACCGTGCATGCGCCACGTGCCCAGGGCAGAGCCAGCCCTGAGCACTTGGTGGGCGCACAGAAATGACCCCGCGGGTGCCATGGCGCCCGTGGGCACCGTGTTGGGGACCACTGGCTTATACCAACTGATCATCAGTTGGCAAGAGCAAACAAGACAAATACCTGGATTTACTCCCCCCCCCTCCCCAAAGGGGGGAAGATTTTCCTGTAGTGAGCTGTGGAGGAATATTTGAATGGGGTGAGCATCAACGCGGGGCTGAGACAAGCAGTGATACCAGGTAGCCTAGGTCAGCCCCGCACATGATATGTGGGGGCATCTTAGGCCAACTATGTGCAGGGGAGAGGGCTCAGGTAAACTTGGGTCAGCTCTGCATGTGATGGGGCATAGGCAACCTCCATGCAATGTAGGGATGTAATAGTGATAAGCAAAAGCTTATTGGTTAATGCTATAGATTACATGCATTTCCTTCCCCTCCCACCAGTAAATTTTTTAGAAGTCTGGCCAGCAGCCTGGCTCAGTCCTGGCTTGCGACAGGTCTGGACCTACTCCTGCTGCCGCTCTGCATTTAAAGTGTATCGGGAGCCAAGTAGGCAGGCAGGCTCAGATCCAGCTCGCATCGAGTCTGGGAGCTCAGATGGGGCTGATTTATTTTTATCAGAGGTAGCAGCACATGGTGACAGGTAGCCAGTGTGTGAGGGGAGCTGGTTCCCCATGCTGACAATCTCCTGCCTGGCACCCAGAAGCAACAGTGCAGGGTGGCAGTGAGCTCCTCTGGGTGAGGCTGGAGCACACTGGGGCAAGCCTGGGGCCCGCACCCTCCAGAGCCTATAAAATACTCTTCTAACCGATAAGAGTTCATGAGGTTACGTGGCTATTCAAGTAACCAATACCATTTAGAAAATATGATCACCCTCTATATAATCAAAGAAGTAGAACTACTTCTGAAAGTTTCTATCTGGCATTTTTTATTCCTATTTTTGTAAATGTGGAATCTTGAGTAATTTAAGGGTTTGCCTAGGGCTTCACAGCAAGTTAATGGCAAAGATCTAGTTGGAAACTTACCTGGCTCCTAGCCCCATGTTTAATTTTCTAGACCTGCTTGGCATCTGAAATCTCAGAGAAGGCATCAGACTTTAGTCAACCAAGTCTCTTTCACCACATACAATGGAAGTATCATATATATATATATATATATAGTAGCCCAATGTCTGTGACTCTCTAACGCAGAAACACTGGCTGTTCCCTCTGGGCGGCGCTGTTGCCTGAGTCATGTCCTTCGCCTCGCGCCGTGGCTCTTGGCTGATTTCTGCGCCGCTCAGCCCCCCACGACGGCCTGGCGGAGTGGCACAGAAGTCAGCCGAGTGCCACGGCGGGAGGGGAACGGGGCAGGGCAGTGACATACATGGCCGGGGGCGGGGCCTGGCCATGTACGTCACTGCCGTATCCCCCCTTCGCCTCCTGCCATGGCGCTTGGCTGACTTCTGTGCTGCTCAGCTGGGCCACCGCCGGGGAGCCCAAACGGCCGCTTGCTCCTGCGTAGTGGCCCGGCTGAGCGGCGCAGAAGTCAGCCGAGTTCCACGGCGTGAGGTAACAGTGCCGCTCAGAGGGAACAGCCAGGGGGTGGGGCCTGGATGAGCATGCATCTCTGACATCAGGAAAGGGTGCCGGATTCAAAAGGAGTAAAGCGGAGAGGAGAAAGGAGGAGGCGGAGGGGAGAGAGAGAGAGAGAGGTGGGATGGGGAGAAGAGAAAGAGAGAGAAGGGGAGAGAGAGGTGGGATGGGGAGAAGAGAAAGAGAGAAGGGGAGAGAGGCAGGAGAGGCAGACGAGTGCTGAGAGAGGGCGAGGCAGTAAGAGGAGAAGAGAGAGAGAGGCCGTTTGCGCTGCTTGCTCCCGTGCGGCAGCCCAGCTGAGTGCCACAGAAATGGGGGGAGGGATAGCTCAGTGGTTTGAGCATTGGCCTGCTAAACCCAGGGTTGTGAGTTCAATCCTTGCGGAGGCCATTTAGGGATGTGGGGCAAAAATTCATCAGGGATAGTACTTGGTCCTGCTGAGAAGGCAGGGGACTGGACTCGATGACCTTTCAAGGTCCCTTCCAGTTCTAGGAGATAGGCGATCTCCATTAAGTCAGCCGAGCGCTGCGAAGGGGGGCGGGGCCTGGACAAGTGTGCATCTCCGATGGAGACGGGAGAGTGGAGAGAGAGAGTAAGAGGCAGGAGGGGGAGAAGAGAGATGGAGAGAGGGGCAGAAGGTGGAGGAGAGCTGAGAGAGAGGGGAGGCAGTAGGAGGAGGAGAGAGGGAGACACGGAGCGAGAGACTGGAGGCTCAGGAGAGAAGACCAAAGTGGAGGAGAGACCTGAAAATCCCGTCTTATGACGGGCTAATTGGCTAGTCTGGTTAATAATTTCTCTCTCCTACATCTGCAGAATTCTGTTTGCAAAGGATTGTGCGTGGGTAAAATTTCACAGGGAAAAACTCCTGTTCATGTTGTTGTGTTTGAATAAAGTCACAAGAGAGCTGACTTTCTTTTGTGTGTGATTTATTTTTTTTCAGACTGGTCTGGCAAGCCCCCTTCAGAAGGAGGAGTTACAGTCTGGGGTGGACACTGCTAACCATGCAGCACAACAATATCAGCGAAGTAAGGAGCCTTTCAGTAGAGCTTATAGCCAAGGAATTGGTGGAGGTGATCAGAGGCCTGAGGGAGTGCATCATTTATACATTGTTGGAACACCGACATCAGCTGTCATGCCTCTTTGTGACTTCCCTGTAAACAGCAGGGCTAGTGAGAAGTTTGCAGAAAGCCAGCATCTAAAAAGCCTGTTTGCTTTCAAGAATGCCTTCTTTCGAAAGAGCACTTTCGAAAGAAGGCGTCTTCCTCGTAGAATTAGGTTTACCACCGTCGAAAGAAAAGCTGCATTCTTTCGATTTAATTTCGAAAGAACGCGGCTGCAGTCTAGACGCAGGTGAAGTTTTTTCGAAAAAAGGCTACTTTTTTTGAAAAAAACCCTGTGTCTGGACACAGCCATTGAGATAGAAACTTGGATCTCCCTGCAACTCTGGCCATTTTCCAGTATCCAATTAGGAGAGAACTAATTGCAAGTACAGATCCTAATGCTCTAACTACTTGATGCGCTGTTGGTAAAGAGATGTCGTCCTTCTGAAAATGTACTCTGAAACTTAGTTTCTGTTATTTTTCTGATATAAATGCTGTTTCTGGAATTGACTAATTTAAAATGATTGAAAATTACCATAGAACGATACATTTCAAGGCTAGAAGAGACCACTATGATCATCTACTCTGACTTCTTGAATAACAGAGGCCAGATAATTTCACCCAGTAATTCATGCAGTGGAGGGAATGTAGTCTTCTCACATAGGTTTCTTCATATGTGGCAATTCACTTGGAGTGTCCACAGAGCAAAAGCCTTTTCCACAGCAGGTGGTAACAACTGCCGTCATAATAGAAAACATAAGAATGGCCATACTGGGTTAGACCAAAGGTCCATCCATCCCAGTTTCCTGTCTGCTAACAGTCGGGAGGGAACAGAACAGGTAATGATCAAGCGATCCCTCTCCTGCCATCCATCTCCACCCTCTGACAAACAGAGGCTAGGGAAACCATTCCTTACCCATCCTCGCTAATAGCCATTAATGGACTTAACCTCCATTAATTTATCTAGTTCTTTTTTAAACCCTGTTATAGTCCTAGCCTTCACAACCTCCTCAGGCAAGGAGTTCCACAGGTTGACTGTGCGCTGTGTGAAGAAGAACTTCCTTTTATTTGTTTTAAACCTGCTGCCCATTAGTTTCATGTGGAGGCCCCTAGTTCTTATATTATGGGAACAAGTAAATAACTTTTTCTTATTCACATTCTCCACATCACTCATGATTTTATATACCTCTATCCTATCCCCCCTAATCTCCTCTTTTCCAAGCTGAAAAGTCCTAGTCTCTTTAATCTCTCCTCACATGGGACCCGTTCCAAATCCCTCATCATTTTAGTTGCCCTTCTCTGAACCATTTCTAATGCCAGTATATCTTTTTTGAGATGAGGAGACCACATCTGTATGCAGTATTCAAGATGTGGGTGTACCATGATTTTATAAAAGGGCAATAAGATATTCTCTGTCTTATTCTCTATCCCTTTTTGATGATTCCTAACATCCTGTTTGCTTTTTGACTGCCGCTGCACACTGCGTGGATGCCTTCAGAGAACTATCCACGATAATTCCAAGAACTCTTTCCTATTTAGTTGTAGCTAAATTAGCCCCCATCATATTGGATGTATAGTTGGGGTTATTTTTTCTAATGTGCATTACTATACATTTATCCACATTAAATTTCATTTGCCATTTTGTTGCCCACTCACTTAGTTTGGTGAGATCTTTTGGAAGCTCTTCACAGTCTGCTTTGGTCTTAACTCTCTTGAGCAATTTAGTATCGTCTGCAAACTTTGCCACCTCACTCTTTACTCCTTTCTGTGGATCATTTATGAATAAGTTGAATAGGATTGGTCCTAGGACTAACTCTTGGGGAACACCTCTAGTTACTCTTCTCCATTCTGAAAATTTAGCATTTTTCCTACCCTTTGTTTCCTGTCTTTTAACCAGTTCTCAGTCCATGAAAGATTTCCAGAAAGCCTTTGACAAGGTCCCTCACCAAAGGCTCTTATATAAATTAAGTTGTCATGGGATAAGAGGGAAAATCCTAAGTACACTATATCTACTGGATCTCCCTTGACCACATGTTTGTTGACCGCTTCAAAGAACTCTAATAGATTAGTAAGACATGATTTCCCTTTACAGAAACCATGTTGACTTTTTCCCAACAAATTATGTTCTTCTATGTGTCTGACAATTTTATTCTTTACTATTGTTTCTACTAATTTGCCCAGAACTGACATTAGACTTACTCATCTGTAATTGCCGGGATCGCCTCTAGATCCCTCTTTAAATATTGGCATCACATTAGCTATCTTTCAGTCATTGGGTACAGAAGCTGATTTAAAGGATAGGTTACAGACCATAGTTAATAGTTCTGCAATTTCACATTTGAGTTTTTTCAGAACTCTTGGGTGATGCCTTCTGGTCTTGGTGACTTGTTACTGTCAAGTTTATCAATTTATTCCAAAACCACCTCTTATGACACTTCAGTCTGTGACAAGTCCTCAGATTTGTCACCTAGAAAGGACGGCTCAGGTTTGTGAATCTCCCTAACATCCTCAGCGATGAAGACAAAAACAAATAATTCATTTAGTTTCTTTGCAATGACTTTATCGTCTTTAAGTGCTCCTTTTGTATCTCGATTGTCCAGGGGCCCCCACTGGTGGTTTAGCAGGCTTCCTGCTTCTGATGTACTTAAAAACATTTTGTTATTACCTTTTAGGTTTTTGGCTAGCTGTTCTTCAAACTCCTTTTTTGGCTTTTCTTATTACATATTTACACTTAATTTGGCAGTGTTTATGCTCCTTTCTATTTTCCTCACTAGGATTTGACTTTTTAAAAGGTGCCTTTTTATCTCTCACTGCTTCTTTTACCTGGTTGGTAAGCCACGGTGGCTGCCTTTTAGTTCTTTTACTGTGTTTTTTAATTTGCGATATACATTTAAGTTGGGCCTCTATTATGGTGTCTTTGAAAAGTGTCCATGCAGCTTGTAGGGATTTTACTTTAGTCCCTGTACCTTTTAATTTCTGTTTAACCTCCTCGTTTTTGTGTAGTTCCCCTTTCTGAAATTAAATGCCACAGTGTTGGGCATCTGAGGAGTTCTTCCCACCACAGGAATATTAAATGTTGTTATACTATGGTCACTATTTCCAAGCAGTCCTGTTATAGTTACCTCTTGGACCAGATCCTGTGCTCCACTCAGGACTAAATCAAGAATTGCCTCTCCCCTTGTGGGTTCCTGTACCAGCTGCTCCAAGAAGCAGTCGTTTAAGGTATTGAGACATTTTGTCTCTGTATTTCGTCCTGAGGTGACGTACCGAGTCAATAGGGGGATAATTGAAATCCCCCACTATTATTGGTTTTTTTTGTTTTGATAGCCTCTCTAATCACCCTTAGCGTTTCATAATCACTATCACTGTCCTGGTCAGGTTGTTGATAATATAGCCCTACTGTTTTATTCTTATTAGTGCATGGAATTACTATCCATAGAGATTCTATGGAACATTTTGGCTCATTTAAGATTTTTACTTCATTTGATTCTACATTTTCTTTCACATATAGTGCTACTCCGCCCTCTCATGACCTGTTCTGTCTTTCCGATATATTTTGTACCTTGGTATGACTATGTCCTATTGATTGTCCTCACTTCACCAGGTTTCTGTGATGCCTGTTATATCAATATCCTCCTTTAACACGAGGCACTCTAGTTCACCATCTTATTATTTAGGCTTCTAGCATTTGTGAAGAAGCACTTTAAAAGCTTGTCACTGTTTATTTGTCTGCCCTTTTCTGATGTGTCAGATTCTTTTTTATGTGAATGTTTCTCATCTGATCTGGCCCATACTTTATTATCTTCTATCCTGTCCTCCTGACTAAAACCTAGATAATCTCTATCAATAGACTCTCCTCTAAGAGAAGTCTCTGTCCGATCCACGTACTCCTCTGCACCAGTCTGCTTTCCCCCATCTCTGTTAGTTTAAAAACTGCTCTGCGACCTTTTTAATGTTAAGTGCCAGCAGTCTGGATCCACTTTGGTTTAGGTGGAGCCCATCTTTCCTGTATAGGCTCCTCCTATCCCAAAAGTTTCCCCAGTTCCTTATAAATCTAAACCCCTCCTCCCTACACCATCGTCTCATGCACTCGCATTGAGACTCTGAAGCTCTGCCTGCCTACCTGGCCCTGCACGTGGAACTGGAAGCCTTTCTGAGAATGCCACCATAGAGGTCCTGGAATTCAATCTCTTTCCTAGCAGCCTAAATTTGGCCTCCAAGACGTCTCTCCTACCCTTCCCTATGTCATTGCTTCCTTCATGTACCAAGACCACCAGCTCCTCCCCAGAACTACACATAAGTCTATCCTATACATAGTATAAGAGGTACAAGCTCTCCGTCTTCCTAACCCCTTGTGCCTTCTTTCCCTTTAATCTCTAGGGTTGGCAGCAGTGGCAAGGATTAATTCTGCAATTCAGATGGGTGTTGCGGAGAACACTGTGGGAGAACTTTTGAATCCAGAAGCTCAGTTACCTCAGGTTTATCCATTTGCTGCAGAGCTTTACCAGAGGGAGCTGGCCACTCTGCAGCAGCAGAGCCCTGATGTAAGTAACTGTTTTCCAAGAACAGGAAAGAGAATCTGTCTGACCATTCCCAGCAATATCCATTGTTCTTAGATCTTCATTCCCCACCTTCTCCTGAATATAGCTGCTTTGCCAATTCTTGAAACTGTGTTGCAGTTCAAAGTTTGTGGAATTGACTATTAAATGATAAATTAAACAATAATAAATCACCAGACTCACCCAAGAGTTCTCAACCAATTCAGATTAAAAATTGCAGTGCTACCAACTGTGGTATGTACCTTATTTCTTAAGTCAGCTTCTATGCTGGATGACTGGAAGATGGCTAATGAGACACCAGTTTTTAAGACAGGCTCTGGAGATGATCCTGGCAGTGACAGGTTAACTTCCATATCTGACAGATTGGGTGGGACTGCAGTAAAGAAGAGACATATCAGACACATAGGTGAACATGATACATTGGTGAAGATTCAGCATAGCTTTTGTAAAGGGAAAGCCTCACTGATCTGTTAGCGTCCTTTGAAGGAGTAAACAAGCATGTGGACAAGAGTGTTCCAGTGTATTTGAAGTTTCATAAAGCCTTTGATGACATGAATCCTTGTCTCAGTCTCTTACGCAATGTAAGCAGTCACAAGGTGAGAGGGCAAGTCTCCTCATGTATCAATAACTGGTTAAAACATATGAAACAAAGGGTAGGAATACATGGTCCGTTTTCAGAATGGAGAGAGGTAAATAGTGGGGCCTCCCATGGATCTGTTGTGGGACCAGTGCTGTTAAGTTTACTCATAACTGATCTGGAAAAATGGGTAAACAGTGAAGTGGTAAGGTTTACAGCTGGTACAAAATAATGCAATATAGTTAAGTCCAGAGCCGACCACAAGGGATCTCCCAGAACTGGGTGATTGGGCAACAAAATAGCAGATGAAATTCAGTGTCGGTAGATACAAATTAATGTACCATGATCCCAGCGATACATACAAATTGATGGGGACTAAATTAGTTTACTGCTTGAGAAAGAGATGTTGGAGTTATTGTAGATATTTCTCTGAAAACATGGAATCATAATTGATCGCTTTCTAGCACCATATCCTTTTTCATGTAGCTTACAATAGCTGTGTTGTCACACTGTCTTCCTCCTTTACTCACTCACTGTAGGTATTGTAACCACTTCCATAATCTGTCCACCTCACATGGCCTACATTTAACATAAGAACGGCCGTACTGGGTCAGACCAAAGGTCCATCTAGCCCAGTATCCTGTCTACCAACAGTAGCCAGCACCAGGTGCCCCAGAGAGGGTGGACCGAATACAATGATCAAGTGATTTGTCTCCTGCTATCCCTCTCCAGCCTCTGACAGAGGCCAAGGACACCATTTTATCCCCTGGCTAATAGCCTTTTATGGACCTAACCTCCATGAAGTTATCTAGCTTCTCTTTAAACTCTATTGTAGTCCTAGCCTTCACAGCCTCCTCTGGCAAGGAGTTCCACAGGTTGACTACACGCTGTGTGAAGAAGAACTTTCTTTTATTAGTTTTAAACCTGTTCCCCATTAATTTCATTTGGTGTCCTCTAGTTCTTCTATTTAGGGAACTAATAAATAACTTCTCTTTATCAGCCCTCTGCACACCACTCATGATTTTATATACCTCTATCATATCCCCCCTCAGTCTCCTCTTTTCTAAACTGAAAAGTCCCAGTTGCTTTAACCTCTCCTCATATGGGATCCGTTCCAAACCCCTAATCATTTTAGTTGCCCTTTTCTGAACCCTTTCCAAGGCCAAAATATCTTTTTTGAGGTGAGGAGACCACATCTGTACACAGTATTCAAGATGTGGGCGTACCATAGTTTTATACAGGGGCAGTAAGATATTCTGGGTCTTATTTTCTATCCCTTTCCTAATAATTCCTAGCATCCTATTTGCCTTAGGATAGTCATAGCCAAATTAGCCCCTATCATACTAAACCTATAGTTGGGGTTATTTTTCCCAATGTTCATTACTTTACACTTATCCACATTAAATTTCATTTGCCATTTTGTTGCCCAATCACTCAGTTTGGTGAGATCTTCTTGGAGTTCCTCACAGTCTGCTTCTGTCTTGACTATCCTAAACAGTTTGGTATCATCCACAAACTTTACCACTTCACTGCTTACCCCTTTCTCCAGATCATTTATGAATAAGTTGAAAAGGATTGGTCCCAGGACTGACCCTTGGGGGACACTACTAGTTACCCCTCTCCATTCTGAAAATGTACCATTTATTCCTACCCTTTGTTTTCTGTCTTTTAACCAGTTCTCAATCCATGAAAGGACCTTCCCTCTTATCCCATGGCCATGTAATTTACACAAGAGCCTTTGGTAAGGGACCTTGTCAAAGGCTTTCTGAAAATCTAAGTATACTATATGTACTGGATCCCCCTTGTCCGCATGTTTGTTAACCCCTTCAAAGAGCTGTAATAGGTTAGTAAGACAGGATTTCCCTTTACAGAAACCATGTTGACTTTTGTCCAACAAATTACGTTCTTCTACATTCTTCACAATTTTATTCTTTACTATTGTTTCGACTAATTTGCCCGGTACTGAAGTTAGACTTACCGGTCTGTAATTGCCAGGATCGCCTCTAGAGCCCTTTTTAAATATTGGTGTCACGTTGGCTACCTTCCAGTCATTAGGTACGGAAGCTGATTTAAAGGATAGGTTACAAACCACAGATAATAGCTCAGCAATTTCCCATTTGAGTTCTTTTAGAACCCTTGGATGAATGCCATCCAGTCCCAGAGATTTGTGGCTGGTAAATGGTCTTGATTGTCCTTTTTGTATGCAGGGTAACCTCACCCACCCAGAGCTGTCGGTTGCGGTGGAGATGCTGTCATCTGTGGCTCTAATTAACAGGGCTTTGGATTCAGGGGATATGAACACAGTTTGGAAACAACTGAGCAGTCCAGTCACAGGGCTCACTAACATTGAGGATGAAAACTCCCAGAGGTGGGTACATGGAACAGATGGATGTGGTCTCTTTTAGTGCACCCAATATTCCCTGTATTATTCTCCTGATATTTCTTTTTTTTCCCTTTAATGTTATTTTTCCAGATTGTTTACCATCACATATAGTCTGGTCCCACAAGCTTGCTTTCTTGCGTTTTGTCTCTTACGGCATTTTCTCTCTTATGGCACCTCTTCATATTAGTCCTACTCAGTGGTTTTTTTTGTTTTTTAAAAAAAAGTGCCGATACTCATTTCTTGAGGAAAGTAAATTTGAAAAAATGCCTCTCCCACCATGCTCCCTATATCATGTCATCATGTGCATAAGCAAAAACCGAATTTTTCATCTTGATGTTTCAAGAGGAGTCAGTCAGGCTGGGGGTAAGTGGTGCAGTGCAAGTGCCCCAGGGCCGGCAGGGGCCTGTGCCAGGGGAAAGTGGTGCGGGTGCTCCCAGGGCTGGCAGGGGGCTGTGCCCGTAGGAAGTGGCTTGGTGTGAGTGCTCCCGAACAAGGTGCCAGTATGCCGTACCAGTGCATACCGTCAAAAAAAGAAAAAGCAATGGTCCTACTCATATACAGTCTTTTTAAATCTCTTCCCAGACTTCACATTAGTACTCTGTGCAGGTTCTTTTAGGCTGTTGCTGATGCTACTCCCCATTCAGAAGAAGTCCATGGTCAATCTTCACACTGGTCTTGGACTCACCCTCTTGCATGCTGTCTCTGTGGTGTCCTGCGAGTTGCATTGATCTGGGCTCTTGTAATCTCCCTTTAGTATATCTCTCCTTCCCCATTTTGCATTGGGTCCAAGTTCATCTTGCATTCTGTCACTGTTGCTCCTTCCATTGCATGTTGGTTTCTCACAATGTCCTTGGGCTCACATGCTAAATTGCCCCTTTGAGCCCACATGATGTCTCTTATCGTTTCTCTTGTGTGTGTGGCAGATACATTGATGACTTGATGAAGTTGAAAGCTCAGGCACGTACAGAAGGGAATGAGTTTGTCACATGGAACGATATCCAGTCGAGTGTGGACCGTGTGAACATAGTGGTACACGAGGAGC